AGATGAATCAGGCTCTTCTTCTGTTTTCTGATAAAGTTTGCAAAAGCTGTTCCATACATGTTCCACGTACCACTTTTTCTAGAATTCTCAAAGAAGATGTCTGTGGGCGTGAAACTGCATGGAATTTTTTCGAGTTCTGCAGACTGGTAGAAAGAAAGGCCGACTTCCACCAGCTGCTCCTGAGCCCGAAGAAACCGTTCTTCCTGAAGTTGTTCCTGAAGCTGCTTCTGCAGAAGCTGCTGAGGACTCTGCAGAGCCACCTCCCGATTCGATGAACATGAGAGCAGCAGAGATCAAAGAATTTGAGAAAGTTTTGCAGGAGGCTGATGTTCGCGATGAGGACCCCCAGTATGTCATATTCAGTCAGCAGGTTATTGCGTTAGGGGATGCTGCGCATGTGCTTGCTTTGAGTTCCACAATGCGAGCTTTGAAGCGAGCGAGACAGGACATCATCGAGTGAGATCAAGGATCCCGCGATTTCCGCATTGCCCCTGCTTCCACAGAAAAAAATCTCCTTAGTAGGAGCATGCTCCTTGGTAGGAGTGCATTTTGCTTGCGTGCAGCTTCTTTTGCCCTTCTGTGCATGCATTGGCATTCATCAGCTTTGCGTATTTTTGCACATGTGTGTTGCAGTTTCGCTCTTGGTCAGGCAACTTGCTCATCCAAAATGATTTCAAGCTGGATGCTCAGTGCAGTGATGCATCATTGAGAATAATGATGAGGAAAATTGTGTTTGTTCCATGTCTTTATTTACTATATGATATTAAAAATGGTTGTCCTGCCAAGCATACTTGTCCAGAGCATTTGGCCAGCTGAAGTTTGCACTTGCTTTTCAGGAACCCTGATCATCAACAAGCAAATCAAGCTCATGGCTCAGGTCATTGCATTCATGAAGAGTTTTGATGATGCAAGACATGTGTTGAATTCTGTGATTTGAGCATGTTGCTATGATTTGAGTGCATGGCAGATTCCTTGTGTGGCAGATTGTGCAGAAATATTTTTTTTTAACAGTTTTGAACAAGGCTTTTTTTTACAATATAAAGGAAAGCCATGATGTTTAAACATTGTTTAAAATTGTGAAAAAATGCCTTGTTAAGAACTGTTAAAAAATATTTTCTGGCATGAGCATGGTTTTCCAAATCATGTGGGAAACATTTGTGGATTCCACTTCTCCTACCAAGGAGATGAAAGAGCAAATTATTTTTGTTTGAGATTTTTGGCAAGGATTCACATGACTTGCAGGATGTAAGGGTCAGTGCAAAACGTTTTCATCATGAAGTTTTCTTCGCGCTTTGTTATTTCTGATGAAATGTATCCAAAGCAAAACAGCTCCTTGGAAGGAGATCCAAAGTCCAGCGTGGTTCATGGCATGCGCAATGAAGTTGAAGACATGAGGTTGAGACTTCCATGTTGTTTTGAATGCATGATTCCAATTTCTGTTTATTTCCGTATGAGGCGCAGCGCAATCAAAATTTGGAAGCCATCGTGTTGAATTTATTTCCATCATGTTGAATTGATTTTGCACAGCTTGCCTTGTTGTTGCATGATCATGGAAGTGCGCTTGGGAACATTAAAGCCAACAGTGCCAGTGCGCCAGGCATAGGTTGACATTTATGCTGCGAATTGACACGAGAATCAAAAACGGTTTTGCTTATCCAATGTTTTGGCATGATGTGTTTTGATTTCCATGATTCTGAGCTTGGCATGGTTGCATGGATTCCTGCTGCTCAAATGAGCATGCTAGCAGGATGATTGAATCCAGTGGATATGTTGCAGCAGTGCTTTCAGGTTTAAGTGCACCCTGATTGTTTGTAGTTGCCCTGTTTGCTGGCCTTCAGACGAGGCCACTGAGGTTGCAGGCCCTTTGGTGGGAGGCCCCAGCTCGAGTTCCGGGGATCAAATCTTGGGCTGCGATCGTGGTACGATCAGCTTTGTACAACGCGAACAAGGCCACCAACTTGACCCCTGAGCAGAAGGCAGACTGCAAGAGAACTTTGGAGGACTGATTTTTTAAAGATTGCTTGTAGCAGACACCATGGCAAGCATGATGGAGATTTTTTGCATGCGCCATTGTTTCATGTTGTTTATACAGGCAGGCTTGGACAAGAAGAGGTCCATCCTGCAGAAGATCGAGCAGCACGGTGCGAAGAACTGCAACTGGGTGCACCAGCCTTCCAACAAGAACACGACGGTCGACAGTCACCAACGTCCTGACCAGGCCAGGTTTTGCTGTCCAGTTCTTTTGGTGCTCCTGGGTAGGAAAAATGCTGATTTATTTTAGGCAGATGCTTTTGCCAGGGCCAAGATCTTTGAGATCGAAGGTGCAGAGGTGGATGGCTGCACAGACCAGGAGAAGGATGACATCCTTGAGGCCATCCTTGCCGAAGCTGAGACTGCTCTCGACTACAAGGTTGAGGTTCAGAAGCACCCTTCAACTGCTTGAACAAGTACCTGTGCAAGTACACTTTGGGAAAGAAAGACAAGACGGCCACCTAGGCAGAGAAGGTCCTGGAGAGCTGGACGAGCAACGCGAAGAAGTTGCAGTTGCAGAACATTCCAGCCGGTTCCTCCACAGTCCCTGACCTGTTGCAGACAGAGCCAAGTGACTCCTTCAAGGCTTTGAGCGACAATTCCAAGCAGTTGGAAGTCTTGAGGAACAAGCTGCTGAAGAACCAGGAGGAGTTCTTGCTCTTGCTTGAGCGCGTCAAGACAAAGGACGACAGCTGGAAGGGCAAGACCACTGAGTTGGAGGGAGCTCAGACTGTCCTGAACAAGTTCTTGCAGGACGTTCGTGCCATGCTTTGATCCATGTGCAAGCAGTGCGACCCAGCAGAAACCTTTATCCTCTGCTCTGCAAGTTGGCTCAAACAGCATGAGTGTTTCGCAGACCCTGCATGCAGCATACCTTTCCTGTGAGATATCTTACCTTCGTAATATGCAACTTGGAGTCCTGGAGTGCCAGATTTTTCTTAGGATAACCAGAGTTTTGCTGAAGCGCCCTGCACAGGCCGTGGTTGTTTTGCTTTGCCTGAGGTGTTATTCTCCAGTGTCAGTTTTGGCAGGCGGCTTCCTTGGAAGGAGGATTTGCTGAAGACACCTCCTCGGAAGGAGAACTTCCTGAAGGCACAAGTCAGGACATGCAAAGCAGCAGTTCTCTTCTTAAATTATTTCTTTTTTCTGATGTAGGATTTGCTTTTTGCTGGAGATGTTCAACAAGAGAGCGCTGCCAGATGAGGATTTGGAACATGTCCCTGAGGAAAAGCGCCTGCGAAAGGATTTGGTAGATTGCTTTTTAGGCAATGACCTTTCCGCAAAGAGAACTGCCAGAATTATGAAGAATGCCCAAGTTGCAGGAGCTGAGGGCTTGAAAGATTTGCAGTTCCGAAAAAAAAAAAACAGGAATGTTTCCCGTGACATCATGCGACGAATTTTCCGCAACACGAAGTGGCCAAGTCCCTACGAGTTTCAGGCGACTGCTTTTAAGGAAGCTGAGAACAAGTGTGAGCAACAGACTCTGTCCATTCTGTTACCGCGCGAGTTCCTCTTTGCCCTTTTGAAAGTCAACGACCCAGAGCTTCTCATCGCCAAGCAGGAGGCGATTTTGCCGGATCGCCCTGACCTGCTGGCTCACCTGCTGAAGGTAGCCGAGCTTGGTTTTCCGAGAGAAGCTACAATCTTGGCTGGATTATGGGTTGATGCAGTGCCTTTCCATTCTGACAGGTCCAAGAGTTTGGAGACCTTGACTCTGAGCCTCTGTGGTCATCGGTCGTTGAGGATTCCTTTGGTTGCCTTTCCCAAGGATATGCGTGCCAAGGGCCAAACTTATGAGGACATGTTTGAAGTTGTGGCATGGTCATTCCGCGTTCTCTTGAGTGGGACGATGCGCAGTGCCAGGCATGATGGTAGTGCTTTCAACAGCACAGATGCTTACAGGAGAAAGCAGCAGGGAAAGACGGGAAAGACCATTGCGCTCAAGGCTTCTTTGTCAGAGATGAGAGCTGATTGGGCTGGCTACAAGGAAGTACTGGATTTTTCATCTTGGAGCTCCAAGGGCTTCATTTGTTGGAGATGCAACTGCCAGCGGGATTCCCTCAAGAGATTTGGAACGGTTAGCCCAGATTTGACCAAGCATTTTTTGGTAAGTATCGTACAAGCCAGTTCCTTGGTAGGAATATACTGGCTGAGCCAGTTCCTTGGTAGGAATGTTGGCTCATGCATGCTTGCTTTTGATAGCTAAGGTATCCTATGATCTCCAGCAGAGATTCTTCATCAGACAAAGGCAGCAAGGAAAGCTGGTGTCCAAGTTGTTTGCTGTGCCTGGATTCGGCAGCGAGTGTTGCAAAGCGGATTTTTTGCACTGTTGCGATTTGGGCATCACTTCTGATTGGATGGGCAGTTTCCTTTTCTATCTCCAGAGCGAGAAGATCCAGGGCGCAAGCAAACTGATCCGGTGCACGAAGCTTTTCGCAGACATCGATGTGTGGTATCGAGAACACAACAGCGAAGATTGCGTGCCCAAGTTGCTTCCCACCATGTTGCGAGAAGAGGTCAAGGGAAAAATCAAGTCTCCAAAACGCGCGCTAAAGCTGGGGAGGCTAGAGCCTTGGTGCCCTGCATTCTGCGTCTTGCGCAGAAGTATTTGGATGTGACCAAAGTTGCCGAGCTTACAATGCTTCGTGGCTGCATGGAGTTGCAAGCCATCTATTCCAATTTGAGTGCAGGCTCTTGGAACAGTCAGCATTTCCATGCTGCAGCTCATCGGTTTTTGCTTTTGAACGGAAGCCTTGAGACGCACTTCGAAGAGGACAAGCTTTTTCGGGTCAAGCCCAAAGGTCACCTCTTGCTCGAGCTCGCTAGGCGGCAGTCCACACCAAGTGCTACGTGGACGCACCGGGGCGAAAGCTTTGGCCACACTGTTGTCACTTTGGCTGGCCGCAGAGGTGGGAAGTATAGCGTGAAAGCTATCTCCAACTCCGTCTTGAGGCGATTTATGGCTGCCAATGAGCTGCCAAAGTTGCAAGCCTGAAAATGTATGCTTCTCAAGCTGCTGCAAACCGGAAACGTGGTTTTGGTTGCTAAGAGCTTTTGAGGATGCGTCTCTTTGGCAGGTTCGTGGAGAAAAGAGTCGAAAACTCGGCCCATAGCTTTTTCTGTGATCAAAGCCCGGTAAGCTTTCTTCCACCTTGTATGATGAAGATCCAGAAGAAGGAAGAAAAGGAAAGCAACAAGTTCAAAGCGTCAGAAGAAACTGAGACATCTAAATAATTGGTGGCAGATGAAGGTGGAGCACCGAGCCCTACGAAAACAGGAGCTGAAGCTCGAGGATCGACGGAACCATCGCCGACAAGAATAAGGACAGACAAGCCTCCAGCAGTTGTCAGATCAACGTACGAACCATGAGTGATGATGACCCAATGAACACTTCGAGCACTTGGAGCGAATTTAGAGCTAGGATTCGAAAAGTGTGTATAGTTTGAGAAGCGTTCGAGATGTCGAGAAGTTTCTGAAAAGGGAAGAGCTTCGATACAATGATGATGAAGAAGTAGATATCGAAGAGTTTGAAGGACTTGAAGCCGAAATCGAAGATGAGGAACAAGCATTTGAAGATTATGAGAATGAAGAACCAGTAAGTGAGAACGTTCCAACGTGGTCGCATGAGTTAGAAGAAGGACCACCAAAACTGCATGAGAATGAGTTGGAAGCAGTTGATCGGCAATCGAGAAAGAGCGATTGATGGATATGAACGTCTTGAAGCCGATAAGTCAGCAGCAGGCAACCCAAGGAAACTACAAACACCTCTCGACGAAAGTTGTCTATGATTGGAGACATAGAGATGGCCAGTGGAAGCGAAGAGGACGACTCGTAGCTCGAGAATATCGTTGGTTAACAGTCTACGACTTAGCAGCATTGTTTTCACCGAAAGGAGTAGCGTCAACAGTTAAGCTACTGTCAGCTTTGTTCGTATCGACAGACAGTTATTGCTTGGGACTCTGGGAACCATTGATATTGGTGATGCATACTTGTAAGTTGAGCAAGACGAGCCAAAGATTGTTGAAGTTGATGGTGAGTACTACGAGCTAGGATCTGCACTGCCAGGCCAACGCACTGGATCAAACTCCAATGAATTGTGGAGAAGTATGGGTTGAAATCAGATGATGGTTTGCGAGCATTGTTCTATCGATTACCAAAGAATGGAGAACCGGGAATCATCATACTGTCCCATGTTGACGACTTGGAAGTGTTTGCAACAAGAGCAGGATTTTAAGACCTGGTCAAGAAGATGAAAGCTGAAGGATTGAAACTGAAGGTCGAAGGACCCATGGAAAAAGGAAATGGATCGATTGGATTCTAGAAAAGAACCTTCGCAGCTACGATCAAGGGAGTCGAGATTTCAATGAATTCAAAGTACGTCGAGTCACTCGAAGAAGTTCTACAATTCGAAGGATCATTCGCTAAGAAACTTCCAATTCCGGCAGATGGTGGAAGAGCTATTCAGAACAAGAAAGGAGCCCATACTCCGTTGACATCGGAGGACCACCATGTGTACGGAAAAGGAGTTGGAATACTTCTTTACTTGGCGCCAGAGCGACCAGACTTGATGTTTGCGCTAAAGAAGCTAAGTATGAAATTGGCGAGTCCCACAGAGGGCGACCTTGAGTTACTCAGGTTTGTTGGAAAGTACGTGAAAGGATGCCCTGACATCCATCTATTGCATCAGAACTCGTATCCAGGATGCAGTTTTCAAGAACAAAGAAACAGAGGAAATGAAAAACAGAAGTGCAGAGATGTTTACTCCCAAAAGAGTTTGATAGAGATCTGCTCAGATTCGGACTGGGCAGCAGATAGAGAAAGTAGACAGAGTGTTTCTTGCGGTGCAATTTTTGTCAACGGCAATATGGTATACTTTCAGTCAAAGCGTCAAAGAAGTGTGTCACTGTCGAGCTGTGAAAGCGAAACGATTGCAGCAGTGA